ACAAAAGTAGAAATATTTAGTGCTGATATTAAAGAAACAACAGCATGGCATGAGCGTGCAGTTCCTGGGTGGTGCAAGCAGTTAACTCGCTCGGCTACTAACCGAAAGTTTGGTGGTTCAAACCCACCCAGAAGCACCTTGGAAGAAAGGCCCAGCAATCTCCTTCTGAAAAGTCACAGCCAAGGAAATTCTATTTAGCACAGTTTTACTCTGACACATATGAAGTCTCCATGAGTCAGAATCGACTCGACGATAACTGGTTTTGGTTGGTTGGGTATGAACATGGAAGTGAAATTCACATAGGTACTCCTGCATAAGTGGTTCTCTCATAAAGGAATGAAATTGATAACAGACCAAAAAAAAAAAAAAATTGCCTACTCTTTATATGACCCCCCTGAGATAAAGTTGATCCAAACAAGCAAACAAACAAAAAAAAAACCCGGAAGCGTTGCGTCCACTCGTCTCCAACTTATAGCTACCCTATGAGACTAAAATGTCTTTCATGCAAGAGTCTGCCTGTTAGAATGTGCACACAGGCAAATGTTAAGTGTTCGGGGTAACTTTAAGAAGATGTGAGTACCACAAGGAAATGGAGATTTTTTTTTTTTTACTTGCCTTTTTTTGCCTGGAGCCCTGGTGGTGCCGTGGTTAAAAGCTTGGCTGCTAATCAAAAGGTCGGCAGTTTGAATTCACTAGCCGCTCCTTGGAAACCCTACAGGGCAGTTCTCTGTCCTATAGGGTCTCTATGAGTCGGAATTGACCTCACAGTAACGGGTTTTTGGTTTTTCTTGCCTATCTCCTCAAACTTTAAGTTCAAGTTTAAGGGCCCGTAATATTTTACTCAGGAAAACTCATGGATGGGGTAGACTCTTTCTACCATCTTCTCCTCAACCACTCCCAACCTCTCCCCTTCTGTTATTAGTTTCGTTGGCCGGCACCACTCCAAACAGCTGGTCAGTTGGAGGAATTGGTTTGGATTTCTGATTGAATCAGCTCTTACCTCAGTCTTTTCCTTCAAATGACTCTAACACTCCCAGGATCTCAAACTCTCTATTGAACTAGCTTTGTCATCTGGCGATTGTGTTAAAATCTTTGGCACTGTTAACTGTTTATTTGTATGGAATGTATTTCTAAGATGGAGTCTGTCAATACTTTCTTCAAAATTTTTTTGAAACGTCAAGCTGTTACTTCAGGGAATGGTTTGAGAATTATAATTTCAAAGTATAATTTGACAGAAAACACAAATTTATGTAACAAATATAATCTCACAGACACTATATACTAAAACAAGCGTACTTTGTTATAAGATTTAGTCTTCAACCATTAATATAGCCTCAACTTTTGGAGTTAACTAGAACAATCACTGTAACACAAAAACTTTGTAAATCAGATGCTGTATATCATAGGGGATTCCTGACTGTACTTAATAAATATTTAAGTGGAACTATACTTACGTTTTCAAGAGATGGAGCATACATACTGCTAAACTAAGGGGAACTTGGCCGCACTTGGATGAATGATTTTTGTACATTGTGCCCTTATGATTATTGAGTGTGAGAACTATTCAACTCAATTTTTGTATTTTATTAAGATGATAATATAAGACCATGCTATAAATTCCAAAGAGCTTGTGTCAGTAAAGTTTCTTTCCTCTCAATGTCTTCTTAAATAAGTATTTTAGAGTGTGCTTTTATTCTTTATATTTAACTACTATTTGGATTGAAATGTTTTTAACAGTTGTGAATTGTTCATGCCACACAAAATAATATATGTTTTTTCTGACTTCAGGAAGCCTGTGTTGTTCACTATTTTTTTTTTTCTATAGAGTATCATGTAAGACACACAGAGTCACCCCCACGCAACTTAAAAAGTCCACTCCTATTGCCACACAATGGTGGGATGTAGGGAGTGCAGATCAAGAAACAAGAAACACGTGCTGAGTGTTTTGTTTGTTTTTTATGTGCCTGATGTTGTGAGAGGTGCTGACAATGTAGACAAGAGACTAAAATATGTTACAAATCTCAGGCCACCTTCTCAGGTGTGTGAAGTTTTTTTTTTCTTTTCTATTACTGAAGTTATTTTCTATTTTGATTCCGCATCCCATCAAGGAAGTCTGCATAATCTCAGCATACTCTGGGGTTTGCATTTCCCTGTCCTCTGGGTAGTGTCTAAGTTTTGAGAGATTGTACAATGTCATGATGGTGGCATGTCTGATACCCAGGTGTTATTATCTGTCCATGTGTGCATTTGCAGAGATGTGCATTGTTATGTCAAATCTCTGGTCACAGATCACACAGGTTACAATGCCATCATTCTATCCTTTCAAATAATCTCACTCCAGAATCAAAGCTCCCACCTCAGCTTCTTCTGCACTCCCCAAGAAGGCATGTGGACAATTGGACTGCCATCTCCAGAAACTCTAGCATCCTGGGAAACAAAACCATCTGAGGCCTTTTTCTGAATCTACCTTTCATGCCATGGCGGGCTTCCAAATCTATATGGGGATTTTATTATTTTCCCCCTCAACCTGAACTTTTCCCAAAGTAGATTGCAGAGTAGAGTAGGAGTCATATGTAAGGGAGTCACCAGTGTCTATGCTCTCAAAAGACTATTAAGATGTTCAAATGCTCAGAATTATCCATGGAATGAGTATAAAAACTTTACCATATTACACAGAGTATTGTGCTGGGAACTAGAAGTATGGTCTAAATCTCCATGGCCCAGTCTATGTTATTAGGGAAGGCTTCCATGGAGGAAATAGTGTCAAAACTAAGCTTTGAAGGGTAAGTTGAAATAAGCTGGGCATGTGGTAGTGGGAAGAGCCTTCTGATTATGAACAAACACAGAGAAGCATGAAACAGCTTGGTGCATCTGGGGAACTTCAGGTAGATTGCTGTTTGTGGAACTAAGAGTGCAAGCTCAGAAGTTGTGGGAAATAAAGGGCAGAGGTAGCCAAGGAGGTTCTTGAATAACCCATTAAGTAAAGGGTCTGTGCCGTCTAGTAGGTACTAAACAGAGAAGTGAAGCTTAAAAGGTGACCATAAAATTTATCATTCAAACAACAAATTTTGACAATAAGTGAAAAATGGGCCTGTGCCAGCCCAACTGGGATGACGGCCACTATCTGTATATATGGGTTGGTTAAACCAGCCTGGGGGTGTTATGGACAGTGGATTGGAGGAATGTGAGACAGAAAGCAATGCAACAGTTCAGGCGAGAAACAGGGATCAGGGGAGGGATATATTTGTGATATAATTAGCATGTTGAATTGACAGACTTGGATAGTCTTGGGTATGGTAAGAGTGCGAGGGAGAAATGTAACTTTTGTCTTTGGTTCTTAATCAGTGAATGATCTAAGATAGGGACTGGTGAAGAAGGAGCAGGTTTGGGGGTGAGTGTGTGAATAGTGAGACTTAGCTTAGCTCTGTATATACTACAGCAGATGTAATAATGGGATCCGCATGCTTAACTCAGAGATGTGCCTGTAAAAGTGTATTGAAGAGGAAATACCTGAAATAAACAGCATGATGAGCACTTCTTTGTACTATGTCACAAGTGTCCAGGATTGTTGTTAGAAAAAGCAATTTTCCATTTTCCCTACAAATAACGTTGGAATATGTTTGCTTTATAATTATTTTCAATACACTCCCATGAGGATTATCTATTATTCCCTCCCGATTACCATCTGCTCCTCTCCACTCTTCCCTGTATAGACTGTAGCAAGGTGTCTTTCGCCCTCTGAATTCTTTTTGGTTTGGCCAGTGGACATCACTGGCAGGACCCTGGAAGAAAGGAGAGTGGGCTCAGGGGTTTTATTTTCTCCACTCGCCTGGGTAGGTCTCTGGAGTTAAATTGCCTCCCTCTAGTGTGGCCACAACTCCTGTCAGATGGCCCTCTCTACAAGCTATCATCTCTAGGTTCCAACAACCTGCCCCTCTACTTGCTATTTCAGGCCTGGAAGGGGTCATTCCACTCTGTTGCTTGTTAGGGGTTGTGCCTTTTAAGGTTGTGTGTCAACCTGGCTGAACCATGATTCTCAGTGGTTTGGCAGTAATGATGTAGTTTGGCAGTCATATAATGATGTGACCACCTCCATGATGGGATCTGTTGTGAGTAGCCAATCAGCTGAAAGGGAGTTTCCTTGGGGATGTGTCCTGCTTCCAACATAAGTGGACTCTCTGGCAAGGCTCATGGGTTTTTGCTCCCACTGGATCCTGCAGCTGGCTGCTGTTAGTCTCATCTCTGGTTCTTGGGACTTGAGCTAGCAGCTTACCTGCAGTCTTGCCTGCCGATCTTGGGATTTGTCGGTCTTCACAGCCTGTGAACAAAAGCCCTGCTGTCTGACCTGCTGATCTTGGGTTCACCAGCCCCGGCAGCTATGTGAGTCAGAAGCCTCCAGCCTGATCCACAGACTTGAGACTTTCCAACCTCTACAACTGCGTGAGCCATTTCCTTAATATAAATCTCTCCCTATGGATATTTATATGCTTTACTGGTTTTGCTTCTCTAGAGAACCCAGCCTAAGACGGGGGTCAACACTTTCTCTTGGTGATCTCCCTATAACATGCCCACACCTTAGAAAATACCTTTCCTTATTGAAGTCTCCTCAAATGACTGAGTTTGAGGGTGCCATCAGTCTCTTGTCAGGACTCTAACTAATACAAACCTGTATCTATTTTCAAAATATTGATTATTTTTAGGCTTCTGGTAGAGTGGTGTGAAAAGCCAACACTTTTGAAGCAAGCGGGCTTGCCTGGAAATCCTGGCCCCAAATCCCAGTTGGTTTTGAAAAACAGTTTCAACCACATCTCCATCTGCCCCCTAAAATTATGACATATGCCTCTGCACCAGGTGTATCTCTATGGGTACAGTGAAATAAAGAAGAAAAAGAATGGGAATGGGTGAATGAAAAGGGTTAATGAAGATGAATGGTAACTTTAATGAATTAGGGGGAAAAGGAGACTGATCCTGACTTACATGACACTTTGCATAAATTTTATATTCTTATCCCAGAAGATTTATTTAATGATTTCAACAACAAAAGCAAATGTTCTTCAGATGAACGATTCATTACCATTGGTGCTAGGAAGATAAGCAATTTCCATAATTCCTTTCAAGGAATTTATAACCCTAAAAAACAGAAGAAAGTATTATCTTAAATCTCTCTGACTTGGGTGGAGAAAAGTGTACTCTACTGAGAGGAGGACACCCAGATGTCCTGGCTGCCACCTGAGAAAGAGCCTGTTGTACTGTTCCCAAGTTGGTTTTTAGCTTGAGGTGAAGTCTTTCAGGACTTTTTTCAGGACAGTCATAGTGTCCTCAGCAACTCCCTCAAGCATACGATTGTGTTTCTCTTGTCTGATGTAGGGGGCAATAAGGGCATCTAAGGATGGGATGTAGCTGAGAAGAATAAGGAACATCTTCATGACTCTACAAGTCAGGCACTTCAGTTTCCAGCCCCTTGTGATGACAGCCTGCAGATCCTGGGACTTCATGATGGCTTTGTACTCTGAGGATTCCTTGCCCATACTCCTAGCCAACTGCTGAAGAGATTCATCATTCACTCCAAAGGACAATCGGTAGGTTTTCAGACACTCTGCCAAATCATCTATATCCCTCATGCCTGGGGTGTTCTGGAAAGAGTTTGTGGCTATTTTCTCCTGCAGGTAGGTCACTTTATCATTAATGATCTCCTTATAGGCATGAAACAGGTTTTGTAGGGGGCCATGGTACCTAATATCAGAGAGGTCCTCTTTCAATGTGTCCCTGAGCTTTGGGAAGTCATGCCATGAAGGTTCAAGGCTAGAGATCAGGAATATGGGAGGTTTGCGTACTCGCGTCTTCTGGAGATTTTCCAGGATATTTTCTCTGATATTCTTCATTAGCTGCCCTTCTGTGAGCATCCTTGTGCTGAGGTCCATGTCTAGCTTTGTCCAGACAATGTAGAACTTCTTTCCCATCTCCTCAATGGCTTTGGCAAGCATCACATGATTCATGCTGAACTGTTCGGATGCAATGATGATGAACAGGTCATACTGGCTGAACTGCATTTCCACTATGTAGTCCTCCAGGCTCTGGGAGGTAGCGCCCATGCCAGGTAAGTCCCAGAGTACCACATCTGGAAAACAGGAGAATGAGTAGGAGGCACGTGTTTGGGTGGTTCTTACCACCCCAGTGGGAGCCGAGGCCTCCTCCTCATGCCCAATGCCCCGCAGCGCGTTGATGAATGTGGACATGCCATTGCCGGAGTCCCCTGTCACAGCAATGTTGACTCGTGTGCTAGGCACTCTCCGCAGGGTCTCTATGGCAGCAAAGACCACCTCCAGCAAGTTCCCATCTGCCAAGGCCTTCTGAGCTTTCTTGGCCTCTGCCTCTGATAAAATGCCCGAATCCTTATGGTACGGCAACACAGAGGTGAACGATGCAGATAATGGAGATTGAGGGGACAGAGGGGACACTGCCCCGTCGATAAGCAGTGGAGTAACCTGCAGAGGTGGGAAGAGCAGGGGAGTTAGGGTGGCCAGGAACAACAGGGTGCACAGGAATCATTTGACTTAGGATCCCAAGCTCAGAGTTTTAAATCACCAACCAAGACTACATCAAAGACATTTGAGGTTAAAATCAAAGCAAACAAAAGCACTCATTCAGGAGATGTCCGCATTCCTTGGGAGGAGGAGGAGGGGGAGGACCTTTGAGGAATGCTGTGAGGCTGGTTGTGCTAACAATCAACCTTCAGTGCAGGAATGTGGTCATAGGATGACTTGAGCAGCAGAATGTCAGGTCAGCCCCTCAGTCCTGAGCTAGGTGAGTGTACGTCCCCAATCCAACCCAACTAAATGGGCAAGACTGCCCATTTTCAATCCTCTTCAGGGTAGGGGGAGCCCTGGTGGTGCTGTGGTTAAGAGCTACAACTGCTAACCAAAAGGTCAGCAGTTTGTATCCATCGGCTGCTCCTTGGAAACTCTATGGGGCAGTTCTATTCTGTCCTATAGGGCCCTATGAGTCAGAATCAACTCGATGGCAATGGGTGCAGGGCAGGGGGAGGGGGAGTGCTTACCCCAGCTTCCAAAACCAAACATCTCACTTCCAAGCATAAAAAAGTTCTCCCTGAGTAAAAAAACTATTTATTTTTATTAACAGTGTAAAAAGTGCTTTTTTTTCCTCTCGATGTAGTCTTTTTTAAAAATTTTTGATGAAAATTTTAGATAACTTCTAACACTGCTGGCTGCACCTAAATAAATGTTTGTTCTTCATTTTCTTCAATATCTAAGTCACTGCAAGCCTCCCAAATAAACTCTTAAAGATTTCTAAGTTAACATTTATATTTGTACATTCTTGTTTATAATTATTTCTATTATTAACATAAATATTAAAGCTCTTTTCTAAATGTAGGTTTCTCTTGTTGGCTGAATCTCTCTAACCAGATTGAAAGCATTTTGTGGGGCAGGGATGGGAAAGAGAATCGGTTGGTATTACTTAGTGGTTTCTACTCCAGGGCATTAACATACAGAAAGCTGCCTGGCCAATGGGCTTTCAAAATCACACAGCTACAACTGATTGTTGTGGTATTTTCTCTTAACATTCTCTTACTCCTTTCTGTGTGAGCTAACACAAATCTTTAACATTTCTAGAATTCAGGGCCATCTCTTTGACTGAGGTTGGCTCTGTCAGCCCCTTTCTCTTCTGTGAGAGGGTACCTGCCAGACCCACATGTGTCCTCCTGTGAAGCTGCCTGGAGACTTCTGCCACGGAAGGCCTGATGTCCCATCTTCAGGACAAGTTGCACAGTCATCTGTAGGTCCTGGGGTGCAGCTTCTTGCCCTTCCCCTCCTCCTCTGAGACACATCCCAGTCCTCCCCATGTGCATCCCCAAAGAGGGGTCTTGCTTGCACCTGTCCTGGGAGCCCCATCACTCTCCCTAGACTACTCAGGCTGCTGCTTACGCAATGTTCAGTGCTTGGACTCACCCTTCCTTGGAGGGAACGGGTCTCAGAGCCCCACTTGATTTTTAGGACCAACTTGGCCACGTGCAACTTGGACAAGTTCCTGAAGCCCCGGTTTTCTGCTCTGTGGAGCAGGGAAAGTGATGCGACTCACCTCACAGAACTCCTGAGAGGGTTGCATGGCCTTATGTATGCAGAGTACTCCTCAGGGACACACAGAAAGCTCTCGATGAATGCTTTCTGGTCTTGCTGTTACCTCTGAGGTCAGCTTTCCTCTTGTTCTTCCTCCTCCCTCTGGCTTCTTACCACAGTTTACTAAGGGCCGTTGTCTTTGAGTCTGGGTTGTTTGCATGTATTTTCTTGTTTAATCTTCCCTGAACACTGTTAGATAAAATATATGATGATTCTGAATAATGGTGAAGCAACAGCATCTTCCAGATTAGAAACAAGCTAATGGTTAGGGATCTAAGATTTGAACCCACAAGCGTGATTTCATGATTCTGTCTGGACAGGAGGAGAGGAATATCCTGTTTTAACCCAATCTCCAGTTCCATGTGTTGATTATTGTTGGATGCTCAGGCGCTTCCCTTAGAGATATCTCGATCCAGTTACTGTCATCACCTCTCATTCCCCCTCCCTAGATGTCATTTCCCTAATTTGGGGCAACAACTGAAATCATTACCTGCTGTCACCTCCCACTCCCCATCCTGTGTTAAAGAAAACTGTTGTGGAATGTGTTGTAGAGCCACTGAACCCATTAAGAGATGGATATGCCTAATGAAATGATCAGAAATATGCAAAGACTTCAGAGTGTGGAAAGATACCTGGAAGTGTCACTATCACAGATCCTGTCTTCATTGAGACTATAAGCCCCTGAGCCCTGTGCCCACAGCAAGTGTTCAGGTCATCTGTGCAAGACTTGTGGCACTATAAGAAAGCCAGGGCAGTGCCTCCAACCTTAAGGCAAGTAGAGATTACACTGGGCTAGGAAGGTGGATGAATAGCATGGTGGTCGGGTAGGGGCAATTCTCGTTGGATGTGAGAGTGGAACTCTGGGCGGGGTCCTAGCTGGAGAGACTTTCTAGAAAGGGAAGAGTGAAGGTTGAAAGGGAACTCTGAGGTGTGGATTAATGAAGCACAATACACTTTTTGTATGTCTTTAAATTACTGGTTGACAGTTAAACTCTGTCCACCTGCTCCTGAGCATGTAGCCTTCTCATACAAACCCCATCTTAAAGCACCCTGGGTGGGCACTGGTTAATGCAGAGTATAGACTGCCCTACGATGGTTGTGGAGGAGTCAGTACAAGACCATATTCATTCCCAGATCTTTTCTGTGACCGTGTCTGTGACCCAAGCCAGCCTCCCAAAACCTGTCTGCCCAACTGTCTAGCCAGTACTGGGCCCTGTGGAAGAGAGAACCTTAAGCGCCGTGGCCCAAGGCCCAGCTCTCTTGACCTTCCCCCACCACCCGATTCGCTCATATGGTCCATCTGCCTTGCGCCCCTCATGGGGCTTCACCAGCAGCACAGAGGACCTGGCTGAGTCCCAGTGTCAGGGCTCCTCCGTGGCTGTAACTGCTTTTGTGCCAGAGAGGGACGTGGTCAGTTCTGCGTGAGGTTGGAGTGCCCTCCAGTAGGAGTCAGGTGTCAGCGTGCCTGTGAGTTTGTGTGCATGAGCCTCCAGGACACTGCCTCACAGCGCTGACCTGGAAGTTTAGGGGAGGTCATCAGAATTAGGCCTCGGTTGCAATTGCCTCCCCCCAACTCCATTCTCTGAGAACTCTGCACAGATTATACCACTGGACGTACCCCACCCCAGAAGAAGGGCCAAAGACCCCTTGAAAAGGTGGATTAGGACCTTCTGGAGGGAGCCCAGAGACCAGGTTCAACTAGAGATGGATAGCCATGCTTGGATAGGAGAACCAGCCCCTGTGATGAACATCTTCCAAAGCTTTCTAACTGAGACTTCCAATGAGGTATACATTTCTTAAAGGAACCAAGTACACAGTCACACACACACATGCGCACACCTTAAGCAAGGGTATCCTGAAAGGATTTGCCTTAACTCCACTCTATACTCTGACATTCTATTCTAGTCTAGTCTGTTTCGTGAAGTTTCCCTCCCTCCCCACCCCTTTTTAGTGCTGGTTACAGTCCATTTTATGGATTGAATTGTGTCTCCCAAAAACATATGTTGAAGTCCTAGCCCCTGTACTTGTGAATGTAACCTTGTTTGGAAGTAGGATTTTTGTTTTGTTCTCAGCTAAGTTTATACAGAGTAGGGTGGGTCCTAATCCCATCTGAGTGGTATCTTATAAAACTGAAGAATGGACACAGAGATAGAGTCACACACACAGGAGCAAGACAGAATATGAGGATCCCTCTATAAACCAAGGAATGTCAAGAAATGCCTGGGGCTACCAAGTGCTGGAAGAGAGAAGGAAGGATCTTTCTCTAGAGCAGAGAGAGAAAGAACTTAGTCCTGCCAAAGCCCTTAACCCAGACTGCCAGCCTCCAGAGCTGTAAAACAATACATTTCTGTTTTTCAAAGCCACCCACTTTGTGATATTTTTGTCAAGGCAGCCCCAGGAAACTAAGACATCCGCTAAATGGACTTCATGACCTAAGGCATACAGAGTGAAGAACACAGACTAGTGGAGACTCCATTCAGGGCTATGTATATTTCATGCCATGCCCAACTCTCCTGAGCCCCAAACAAATGGACTTGTAGAAAAGTAGGGCCTGACCTTGCACCAGACGTGAACTCTGGGGCAGCAGGGACTATCGTGTGTCTAGAAAACAACGTGAACCGAAGCGCCAGATTTGTTCCCCATTTGATCATCATCAGAAAAGGCTGAGGGAAAATCAACGTGCCAGTTTATTCCAGGAAAGCATAATATTTTTCTATATGATCCATGGGGACTGTGCTGGACAGTGCATTTTCTGGAAAGATGGTAGAAACTGCTACCCTCTGCCCCTCACGCCACCACACACCTCATTAAAGTTATCTACAAAGGAAAGATTTGGTTCCTGCGGTGAGGATGGGTCTCTCCAGCCAGGTAATAAACATTTTTAACTTATAGGAATAATTAGGGGTACAGCCCCCCATCCCTGAACCCCCACCTCCCAGGTCCCTATTTCCTGGGTGGTTCAGTCTGGTGAACTGATTGAACTAATTGATGGACTATCACAATTTCAGGGTATCCCAGACATAGCCTGTGGTTGGCCTTGATCTCAGGAGGACATCACCACGTTGAAAATCAAGAGATTCTGCCTAGACTCTAAGAGAATAAGAGTGACACATCCTGCCCTCTTTCTCCAAGTTTGTTCCCACCATAAAATGTCTAATGCTAGGAGCATCTAGGTGAGAGGCACACTACCCGCTACACTTATGGGTGGGTAGGGTTTGGAACAGCAAAGGTATTTGAGGGTGTTTTACCTGGGTTCCTGAAGAATGTCAGGGATGGGACCTGCTCTGAATTTGTCACTGAAATGAAATAAGCCAAAACCCCAAGCTTAACTGCCTTTGGTGTCAGGGATCCACCTTTTAAAGTCTCACCATGAGCCTGGTCATTAGCCAAGTTGCCATCTTAGCAGCTCTCTCACTTACCAGCTCCTGGAAGCAGAGGGGCATCCATGATCAGAAGTCAGGGACCACTTCTGAGACTTCACCACCTTCCCTGGGAAGGGCTCCCTGCCCTCCCAGACAGAGGCAGCTCCTTCTGGGTCCGTCCAAAGCTTCAATCCAGATCCAGCTTTTCCTGAAGGATGTGAGTAACTTGTGGAGGGGTTGGAGTCATCTTAGGAAGAGTGAAGAGATCTCGAGAAGCACTGGAAAGTGAGAGCCTGCTAGCTCTGAGTTTCCTTCCTGCAGCCAGCTCTCACTCCTCTGCTCTTTTTATAGCCAAGTCCTTCTCCCTGGCCACACCTATCCCCCCGTCCCCCACCAAGGGGAGAGAGTTGCAGTGAGGGTTGTTTTCAGTTTGTATTCCAGGAAAGGACTCTAGTTCTCAAAAGAGGAGAGGCAGAACGGGTTTCAGTTTCTTATGTTCAGAAGCTCTAGGGTTCAGAGAGTGCAGGAGATGAAGCAGCACTGGCTTGTGCCCAGAAAGGCGGGAGGGCACCAGTGGACTCCCTGCAGCCTGTGCAGAAATTCCTGCCTGTGTGGGCAGTAATGGGCCCCTGTTCACCTGTCATGCCCCACCCTCCTGCCGGCCCATGTACTTGGATATTGACGCTGAGCCCTTCGCTACTGGCAACATTCAACCCCCCAAGTGAGACCTGGTCCCACAATAAGTGCAGACACCTATGGAAAAGTTTCTTCTCTGGGGTGCCTTGCCCCTGCCCAGTTTAGTCCCCACCCCCACACTGCAATCCTGCTCTGGACTGTTGAGTGCTCCATCTAGCTCTGGCTCCTGCACACTGCCCTCAGCTCTCTGTCCCTCTACCCTCTTGTAAGCACACTTGCTCTTGTCACTAACTGTTGTGTCTGTCTGACCTCACGGATCCCTCTCATGTCTATGAGTGACTCACAGTACCCAGGTCATCCTTCTTCTCCCCGCCATCCTGGGTGGTGTCCTATTTCATACAAGCACCTCACTGAACATCCTGGTCTCCTGCTTTGCAGCTGGCCCCATTTACAGTGACTTTCATATACTCACAGCCTCCTCCACTGTCATATGGCCACTGGCTGCCCCTGAGTGTCACCTGAAAATTTTCCACACCCAGCATCACTAATGCAGATGTCCTACCTCTCACCACAGACCAACGCCCCAATCCGCTTGCTCAAAGTAACTGCTCTTCACCCTTCTTGGGGTTTGCCACCTCGTCCCACCCTTTCCTATCCTGCTGAGAGTCTGTGATCTTGAATTTAAATAGAATATCCTCTGCTTGTCCTCTGAACTCTTTTCACCCTCCTCTGTCCTTTCATCTCATCTGCCTGCAAACCCCAGGGCAGATAAACAACCCCTTCTCCCTGTGCCTGGACAGCTGGTACCTGTTGGAGAAGAACGTACACTAGGGCAGATGGGCTGGCTATGAGTTCACAGTGACACAACTCCCCTGGGGCTTTCATGACCACAAGCAGCTTCTTATGGTCCCATTAGCCATGTTGTCTGATCAGGTTGATAATTTACTCTCTGTGCCCCCTCTGGAATGTAAGCTCTGTGACAGTAGGACACATACTGCCTCATCCCCAGTGCCTACAACAGAGTCTGGCATGTAGCAGATGCACAAAACAAAGTTGTCAGATGTATAAGACCTCATACCCGAACCTCTGAGCTCCCTCCTTTCCTGACCCATACCAGGTGGCCTTGCCCATTTCTTTACTGAAAAAGTAGCAGCAGTTAGAGAGCTGACTCTAATTACACGGAGCAAGTCAACAGGCCACCCTGGGCTTCAATCTCACATTCTCACACATTAAGGCAGAAAGAAAGCAGAAGCTCTGCCTGCTCCACCTGGAAAAATCTGTCTCGAAACCCTTGATGGCCTGTCATGGGCCACATGCCAGCCTCTGGAGCACTGATGTTCCCTGGGCACGGGGAAGTGTGACTGCCTGGCTTGCATCACTTCCACTCCATGGCCAGGACAATGCGATCATTACCTGGAGAAGAGAGGCTAACAGGATAGAGTCTGAAATCCTGAACAGGCTTGCAAGATCAAACGAGGTCCAGTTGCTGCATGTTGACCATTATAGCCCCAGGCCTCCCGACTCTCCCAACATCTTCCTGTTCCATCCACAAAGGCTTCCCCAAGGTTTTAGTCTGCTTTCGGTTTCTCTCATGGCCAGTCCTCTGTAAGATCTGTTCCCACTGCCTGGAATAAGGCTTCACCTCCTCACCCTCCACTCAGGCACCACGGCCTTGGAGAGGCTCCATCAACAAATCCTCCCCCGTTGTCTCAGGACCTGCCACCTGCTTCCCGCATGCTCTGTCCTTCCTCTTCACAGCATAAAGCACGCTCATGACCACCTAATACAACACTGTAATAGATTGGTGACTACCTGTGTTCGGCACTAGACTACAAGCTCAGAATCTGAGGCACCAAGCCTGTGTTTCTCATGTGTATCCTCAGATCTTGGCTTTGTGCTGACTGACCTGCTGGCAAACACGAAAAGAGAGTGGTTTGAGTCCCAGCACTACTCACTTCTTACTGTGTGACCTTGGACCAGCCTCTTAGCCTATCAGTGATCCCCGTTGCCTCATTCTGAGAGGGGAGAAGTGGGCAAACCTCCCCGGGGCTCTGAAGTCAGTGAAGAGATGCCCATGGCACAGGGCTGTGAGATCGTATGTAACAGGATGGTAGAGTGGCTCTGCTTTCCCAGGGTTTGGGCAGAGACATCAGATGCTGATAACGAGTTGGGAAACCACTTACAGAGCTAACTGACATGTTGAGGAGATAGGAAAACAAGGGTCACTTACAAAACATATGTCACAGGAATGTGCTTTCACTTCATGCCAACAATGAGGGTCTCAGGAAGAACACAGTGGCTAGACATGGTTTCTGGGAGCAAGTCAGCCTCAGCCAAAAGAAGCTGGGCTGCCCCACCTGTTGCAGAGACCAAGGAGGAGGTAGGAGGCTTGTGGGTTGTGGTCTTGCCTATCCCAAAGATCCCAATGGAGACATCTGAGGGAGCCCCCCATTGTCCCTCCTATGAGAGGTCGATAGGGACATTTTCCACCCCCCAAGGCCATGGAGGCCAAATTGCAACTATATCACACAAGTGAGTCCTTCCCTGCCCCTTCCTGGGTCACACATTGTATTTCACCTTTTGGGGCTCGATGGGACTTAAGTCTAGTTATAGGTCTAGCAGCAAAAATGGCTGGTAGGGATGTATTCTGAGAATATTCAGACATGTCTTGTAAGGCATCTGCCTCAGGTGATGCCCCAGACAATGACTTGGAAGCCTCCCCAGGCGATAATTCAGATGCCGCCACAGGAGATATCTCAGACAAAGGGTCTTCAGACACAGCTGGGTTAATCTCATCAGATCCTGGTTTTACTGTGGAGGGTGGCTTAGTAGACAATGATGGAGTCTCTTCAGATGGGAGTGAGAGGACTGGTTCTGTTGGCAGGAATGATACAACAGAATGTAGGGGCTCAGTGTCCCCAGCTTCCTGATTACCTGCTCATATGTCCCCATCCCAAGTTTTAAGATCCCATTTCTTCCCAATCAATGCCCTCACTTTAACTTCAGACACCATTTGAGGTTAGGAATTCAACTGATGTTGTAATTCAGCGACTCTTACAATAAGACTCCGAGTTTGGTTTTCAGCAACATCAGCTGTTACTATAAGAGATAAGGTTTTCTTTCAAAGCACAAGTGGAGACTTTGAGGTCATTTATGTGACACTTGAGCTGTGACTCTGAGTCCTGAGCTCATCTTTATCTTTCACCACTTTGTCTAGCAAAAGTAGGACCAACCAACCAACTTCCTTATACTTCTTATTCCGACAAAATTGTAGAGAGGTATCAAACATACGATCACCCAGAGTCTTGCCTCTTGCCAATACCTTGTCTATTGGTGGTGATATTTTGTGTATTTCTATTGTCACCTCATGCCATGGATTAGCAGTGTCCTCTACTACTGGAAGCAGAGTTATCAACATCTTTAAGACTGACCAGACTTGAGAACCAATTTAGAAAACTCATCCTTACAATTTTGTTTTTCTAGAACCACTCTTGGTACCAAATATCTTAGGCTGGGTTCTCTAGAGAAGCAAAACCAGTGCAGTGTATAAATATACATAGAGAGAGATTTATATAAAGGAAATGGCTCACATGCTTGTAGAGACTGGAAAGTCCCAAGTCAGGCTGGAGGCTTCTCCTGACTCACGTAGCTGCAGAGGCTGGTGAACCCAAGTTTAGCAGGTCAGACAGCAGGCCACTGGCTCACAGGCCGCAGGGGCTAACAAATTCCAGTATCAGCAGGTAAGCTGCTAGCTGAAGTCCCAAGGACTGGAGATTAGATGAACAGGAGCTAGCTGCAGGATCCAGAGTGAGCAAAGTGGGGAAGGTAGAGGTGTGGAAGAGGGTAGCAAAAAGGTGTCTTTTCCAGCACTGGATAGGAAAAAAGATGTTAGGGCTCCCTGGAAGCATAAGAATTAATCTACAGAAGACTATCTTTGTAAAGGAACTTGTAAGCCACCAATAAGAAAAAGGAATGTAAGAGTATAACATTCTTTTTGTTCATAAGCTTAGGCTCTTACTTCAGTAGAAAAGATTATAAATTGTACTTGAAAAACTTGTCCAGTTTCTTCTCTGCTTCTTAAATTCTTCTGTTTGGGCTGAAGTCTCAACATGTGTGTTTTCAGTGCAGAAGGAAGCTTATGTGGGAAAGTTTGAGTAAAATCAGTTTGGCTCTTAAGGTCTGAGATCACAGAAGAGACATTTTCTTTTTGTGTTGTATATTCTGGCTTCAAAATCTTTAAATACCCACTGTTGTTTTGAAGTCATTTGTAAGAAATATACATTCTTAAAAGACAGTTAAAACATTTTTAAGTAAGTGATTTTAGGGAAGTAGCAGTCTTTTCTTTTTTGCTTGAGAAGCATACTAATTGCTATGCCTCTTTTCTCCTGGAGGACATGATTATTCAAAGGCACAGCCAGTTAGAAAACTCCCTCCCCCTTTGTTTTTCTGTTTCAAAAAATTCTGTTTTCAGTAAATGGTGGGTCCACAGTGGGCTCTGGCCCTTCTTCCCCACAGCCTGTGTTCAGACTAGTTATCAGTTCCCTGTGCTGTCTCTGCTCTTAACAAGACTCAGTCAGAGAATCAGAGCAAGGAGTCCTGGGAGTGATTGTGCCTGGTTCTGTATTTTAGGCGATAGTTTTTATTTAATTTACTGGGTCATGTAATGTAGACAGATGTTAACAGTTTGAGAAATCCTAAAGGAATGTTAGTTCCAAGCATGACAACTTTAGAAGCAAACCATTGTGAATTCATTAAAATGTGAATTCGGTAATGTTAAACAGATCTTTTTTATACCTTTATACCGTGCTCCCCCTATTTTCTAGCCTTGGGTGTTTTTGTCTGGGTAGTGGGAGATGATGGGCTATCCTAAAGGTGGAAAATTAAAATTAAACAAAAACAAAATAAAAAGGACCACTCGTTGGGTATTTTCTGTATATTTGACATACTGACTATTGATTGATTATCTCAT